TCAGGACCTCTAGAGCCAGGACACCCCTGTTGACAGACGGACAGACAGATGAGGAGGCACCTCCATGGTGGAAGGGGACATGGGATGGTGGTGCCCAGACCCTGCCTCGCCGGGGGCTTGGCCAGAGGGAGGTCCCAGGGGCTGGGGTGGAGGGGCATCACTCCACCGCCTCGCCCCTTGCACTGACATGTCATGTCTTTTCTTCTTCCTTTTTTTTAATTTAGAAATTTTATAAGCTGATGTACAGGACTTGGTTTTCTAGTTCACTTAACAATACTTGAATCTTTATATGCTCTGAAGTCTCCCTAGAACAGATTTTTTTTATTATTGTTATTATTATTATTATTTCTTTATGGGGGAAACTGGTTCCCTTCAAGGCAGCAAAGAGGAAAAGGGGCAATGATGCGGGGAGGGTGCTGTACCCCTCCCCGGAGCAGGGGTGGCTGGCGGAGCATCCCACTCCCCCCACGTCTGCCAGGTGCTGCTCCTCTTCCTGGTCAGGGTTGGAAAACAGCCCCTGCTCCCACCGGGCTGAAATCCCATCCCTGTGGGGCTGTGGAAGAAATTGCAATAAAAATGCATTAAAAGGAAAAAATATCTAGGTGTACTCTGGGTGTCTGCTCTGGGGTCTGCTGTGTAGCTGCCTGTCTGGTGAGTGTGAGGTGGGGGTCCCACACCCGCGGCAACACCCCAGGCAGGTGCCATTTCCCTGGGCGAGGAGGGGGACGGGGCTGCTCAGGGTCGCCCGCCCCAAGACCTGCTGCTGGGGGTTCAGGAGGATGCGGGGGTCCTTTGAGGCAGGACCGTGCGCTGCAGGAAGGGGGCTGTCTGTACATGCTCCACTTGAGTGGCTTTTGGGTACTGCCCAGGGGCATTGCCAGCACGGCAGGCGCAGCGTGAGCTGGTGCAGACCCAGGGGCTGCCCCTTGTCCCTGTCCATTGGGTGCACCAACACCTTGAGCCATAAAACCCAAACCGCCTCAGGGGCACTGAAAAAGCAAAAAAAAACCCCACAAACTCAAACCTTGTTTCCCTAAGTCCAAGCAAGGCTGATGAGGACACAGAGTGGTTGCAGGCAGATGCAGAAGCCCAGAACCTCAAAGGCTTTGATGCCATCCCTAATTGCCCAGAGCCCTGATAACCTGAATGTCTCCAAGGGTGTTCCTCCCTCCAAGCTGCTTTGATGACAGCATGGATCTGTTTTGTAGATGTCTGCAGCAGCAGAGGATGGGGTTAGGACCATCGCCAAGACCTTGCTGCCGACCCACTTCTCCCTGAGATGCTCTGGGAAAGCCACCGAAATGCAGCATCAGGTGTCAGTGGAAGTGCTACTCGTCCACCAGACCCCAGGGGACATCTGCCCTCAGCCACAGGCCTTGCTGAGAGCCCCCTCCCAGGCTTTCCTGGGTCACATAGCCAGAGATTTGCCGATGGCATTGAGGTTTTTGAAAGGCTTGCTGCCTGCTGGAAAGGGAACGAGCCCCTTGGGCATGCAGAGCTGCAGGCACGGCAGGGG